TCATTATCGGGCTGGTTCTGCTGATGTGGCAGTTGACAAAATGAGGCCATGGTTTCTTTCGTGACTTTTTTCGGGACATGACAACACAACAAGAGTAGGTCAATGGGTGTGACACTTTTGTTAAGGCATAAAATTTGTTATACGAAAATGGGTAACAAAATGGACCAACCCCCCCCCCCACAATCACATTTAAATCCCGGAATACAATGGTCACACCTTCTTTAACCAAATATGTATATATAATAAAAAAAAAATCAACTTGAAAGGATAATATACCAAACTCTCCAGGATATTACCAAAAGTGGTTGATCACTCAAACATCATGCAAGGCAAATAACCGTATGTGTGCATGTGGGTACGGACACTGTGTTGTAAAGATTTCCTGTTCTGCAAGAAACCCTGGTCGTGCGTACTACCAATGCCCTTGTGGAGTGGTGAGTACAAGCACGTTTCCTTTTACATTTCCTTCTTAAACCGTTACTAATTTTTTTTTTTAACCTCAGCCGTGTGTCAGTTGGATTGGGTGGTGTGACGAATTTAGGCGCCAAAGGGCAGCTGAGAATGACACACAGAATGTCACTCGTTTTGAGGGTCGTTTCCGTGACATTGAACAAACTTTGCGTGTACTTACAGTAGTGACATGTGTCCTTTGCATCGTCGTCATTATTTTGCTGTTTCGGATGTGAGATATGTAACAATGGTAGCAACCGTACCTTAATTTTGTTAAGCGCATTATGGTTTGTGGCTGAAAAAAAATTATGAATGTCTGTTTTGTTCGTAAACATGTATTTTCCATCTAATTCCGCTACTGTTTGTTTTTGTTTCAAGTAGTAATGTCTTTAAATGAATCTATTGGGCTATATTTTCTGTCTAACACCACATTTCTGACATAAAATTGTGTTCCTCATATTGGTAATACGCACAATTATTAGTGTATACATATTTTTATGTTGGTTCCCGTGTCACACTATTGTTAGTCGCATGGCGTCACATCGATCTACGCCTCGTACCCCTTCCGGAAAAGGGAAACGCCAACAACCCTATCATAAAGCAACTTGGGATGGGGAGTCGACACGGATTTTATTGGAACTGGTTGTGAAGGAAATTGAAGCAGGAAACCGGCCACACATGTCAATCACTCCAAACGGGTACCGTTCGTTGTCTAAGACATTTGAGGCAGCAACTGGGCGGCTGCATTCCCTCAAACAACTTAAAAACAGGTACAATCTGTTGAAGACCGAGTGGCGTGCGTGGTGTAAGCTAATGGATTGCCGGAAAGGCCCAACTGGAATTGGCTTTGACCAAGTAACTGGGCTGTTCAATGCTTCGGCTGATTGGTGGGCTAAAATGGAAAAGGTAACGGTTTATATTTTCTTTTTCGTGTCCGTTATTGCATAACTAATATCTCAATTTTTGTATGTGTATCATGCTGTCCAGTGTAGTTTAAAACATTCAATTTTCTAACTTTACCTAATATTATGATAACTATAACATAAAATCTGATAGCAACTAGAATTTAAATTAGAGTTGTGTTGTCTGTCAAAATGATTTTCTTCAGCATTGTGAAAGTGTTAAAGTGTTAAACTTGCAGTGTCTCTCGTCCAACCACTAGAAGACTTGGACCAAGTCATGAATCAGAGTTGCCCAAAAAAAATGAAAGTATTATTTAACATTATTAAGATGGTAGAACAATAGAGGGACAAGAATAGTAATTAAAGGCGACTTTTGTTTCTATATGAATCAATATTATTACATTCCAATTCCGTCCCAATAACTCCTAAGAAAAATCTCGAATTGGATCCCAAATTGACAGGTCAGTAAGAGGACTATCATATATATATATATATATATAGTAAAATAGTAACCACCTAACAAAGTCTTATGAATACAAATAAATAGAAACGATCTGCAATAAAGCTCATAATGGATGGTTTCATATTGGTATTGATTATTGAAATAAATTTTGTAACTGATTTATTAAATATATGAAACGTATTTTTTTTGTATTTAAATATTCTAACAATTATAAGGTGCTAGTGGAAATCATTTGCAGGTGACAAAAGAAGGAAAATATTTTAGAATTCTGTTTCACAGATACTGAATGATACAGCCACATTTTGCTGTGTATGCAGAGCACTTTAAAAATGTTTGAAGTACAACATAGCAACACTCAAAATCAAAAGATAATCACATGATAATTGAAGTTAGCATAAAAAACTTATTAAACTGACATGATAATTATGTTTCTTTTAATGTTAATGAAATTCTGAAATCAGATGAAGATATTCAGAATTGAAATGAATTATGAAATGAAAAGAATTCTTATATTCTTCAATTCTGGAATGAAAGCGTTGGACTGAAATGATTTCTTGTTGCTGAAAAAGAATTCTGCAATCAAATGAAATCTAAAATTCTGGACTGAAATGAATTCTGAAATATTACTTGGCCTAGAATCCTGATAAATTCATTTGATCTGAAATAAAATTTTGACAAAGAATTCTGGACTGAAATTTCTTGTGTAGATTTTTATTCAGGAAAGAATGCTGTTCCTCATGTAAATTTTGACAAAGAATGCTGTTCCTCATGCACCAATTTCTTTTTTTGTTATATTTTTATACCTGTAAATAGTTGGAAAACATCAATAAATTGGTGTTAGCTCACTTTCCATATGAAGTAGGTTGAAGACCCAAAACATAAGGACTTGTTGTATAACAAAAACCATTTATTTGTGGCACACAATTTTGGAACAGGATGACCTAATGTACCTGTTCTTGTTTTCCATTTATTTGTGGCACACATCTTGTCTATTGAACTAAAAAATGTACCTGTTCTTATTTTGCTGCTTTCCTTTACAGTGTAGTATAGTTCGATCCCATCTGTATGAACTAAAAAATGGAGAGATAATGTAGCTTTATGAGAAGAATGAAAAGATAGAATTTTCTATTACTGATAAAGAAAGGGATGCAGCACAAATATGAAACAGAAAAGCCTATGAAACTCTACTAGAAATGAAGATTGATCCTTCAAGTAGTTGATCAGATAGTCCCATGTACCAATAAAAAATCTTGGTGGAAGATAACATTTTGCCTTGTAAAATGCACATTGTTATAAGACAAATAATGAGTTGAGAATTGACTGAACTTCCGAAAAAAAACAAATAAAAAAATCAGTAAATAGTTGTATTGATTGTTTGGTTCAAGTTGGTTTTCTTTTAATATGTTGGACTATAGAAGAGAGTAATGAAGAAAGTGGAAATAGTAGATAATAATAAAACAGTTAGAGAGACTCACAAAAGCATATGAGATTTAACTAATGTGGAGGAAGGGTAAAAACACATCCTTGGCACTATGATGCTCCTTCTACCAATCTGTGTCATAACTTTCAGCTTGGGACACCATTCTACATGAATTCCAATGGACTTGAAACCATATTTCCTTGATAGATGCTCTTCAATTGTGATAGACAACACACAGATTACTCTTTTATATCAGTTGACCAACATATCTAGTCTTTTATTTATCTCTCTTGGGTTGAGATTGATTAGGATGAAAGTGGTGGAAAGTGTGAGGCAGAAAAAAAAAAAAACAAAAAAAAACTGAAACTTCACTTGCATTTATTCAATATGAGAGTAGTGACAAATGCAAGAAAATAAATTCCTTGTATAACCCATATCAACATGACAACTTTTTCAGCAATATTTAAGTATATCATGAAGTAGTCAACTATTATAAGTTTCGCACAAAAATTTCCTCCTACCCAAATGCATAGTAGAAAATAATTTAATATATGTTGTTCTTCACTTTTATTTGATTGGCAGCAATCATCATACTTGACAAGATTCTTGTTTTTTTTTATCAATATGTTCATTGCAACATACTTCACATTACTGTCAACCATTGTTATAACATTAACAAACTTTACTGATTTATGCACCATGTTGCATTGCATTTTACTCAATGACAGTAGGCTAATGCTAGTTACATTGTGTTGATTTACAGATTGACAATGTATGTTGCAAGTTCAGAACCAAAACCTTGGACCATCCGGACTTGATGGAGCGCGTCTTCACTGGCGCTGCGGCTACGGGAAAAAATGCATGGACACCCGGCGAGACTCGTAACGCAATGGAGTTGGACGGAGAGTCGGACAGTCCAGAATTTTCAAGTGACAGCAATGACCTACGCGCATCGGAAATGGCAGCCATGATGAACTCTGCGCACATCAATGCCACAGCTAGTGGAAGTAAGCGGAAGCATTCCTCGGGGAAAACATTGCAAAACAAGCGCATTACGGGGGCTGAAGCGTTGGCAAGCAGCATGGACGACTTGCTAAATTCTGTGAAGACTCAGAGCAAGGAATTAACTGTCAACCATGTCGTCGGGGGCCATAGTATTACTATGGGACAGGCTGTTGGACGGCTGTACGAAATACAGGGACTAGAGCCTGAAGATGAACTTCTCCATTTTGGAGTCATGCTTATGGAGGTTCCGAACAATCGGGAAATGGTAATGAGTATTCCCACGGACCGAGGCATAATCGGGTGGCTACGAGCGAAGAAAGAAGACAAAGATAGGAGTAGGGGTGTCACTCTTGCGAGTTTGCTGCGGAATCAAGGAGTTCGATTTTAAATCTGCTAAATGAAGGACTTTGATTTATAATTTCAGTTGAATTCTGACCTATTTTTTTTTCGTTTGTTGTGTTTAATTTTAGTTGAATTGTGGTTTGAAGATGGTTTGGGCATGGGTCGTGCCTCTGGCTTACGGAACCTTAAGAATTAAAATGGGGATATGTTTGTGGTATTTTATGTTTTGTTATGCTATAATGGCTGCAAGGAAGTGTTTAATTTTCCACGAATTGTTTATATAGGGTGGAACATGTGTGTTGCCCGAATTGTTTATATAAACTGACCGAATTGTTTGTATAGGTTGGAACATGTGTGTTGCAACAATGAAAAATAATAATTTTTATTACAAATGATGAACCACTCACATGATGTGAATTATGAAAATCTCATGTTCCTTTCAATTTTAAATTACAAAGTATTGCATATGCCTTTAACTTTAGAAAAGTTAACTGAAATATATATTTTTTTCAGCTTGTTCTTTATGCCATGCATTGTAGGGGTTTGAACATAGATATATACGAGGGTAAAACACATGTGCTTGATACTTCTTCATTTAGGCAGTTGTTGATAATGTTTTATGGTTGTACGTTGTAGGTATGAACAATGACGACGACGACTCCACACGGATGGATGAAATGTTAGAAGGGGTCGCAGCTCTCGCAAGACAGTGGCATGAGCAGATGAATTTAAATTACGTTGAAGCCTACAGAATTGCAACTGATTACTACAAGGCGTACGTTCTTAAAGTTCCATGCCGTACTTCCATATTGTCGGGGAGGGCCTGGATTACGGAATTACACGAGGGTCACAGTGGCCGCTTCCGGTACGAATTGTGCATGCCCAAACAGGTGTTCCTTCGGTTATGTACGACGTTGGTAAATGACTTTGGGTTGCGTGTACCGGAGCGGCCGCACGGCTTGGAAGTCGAGGAGAGTGTTGCAATATTTATTCATGTGCTAAAAAACTTGCCAAACCGGGAGTTACAAGAACGCTTCCAACATTCGGGTGAAACTATTTCACGGCATTTTCATACCGTCTTGAAAGCAATGAAAAAATTCACGGTCGTTCACTGCAGGCCCCCTGCTAATTTCCAGACGCACAGGGATCCTATTTTGCAATCTCAACGACAATATTTGCCATTCAAGGTGTGGGAAAAGATTTGTGACATTATTCAAAATTATTTGAAAAAACATGGTCGGTAATTTTTTGGGTAATTGCAATTTTTTTGATTCATATATAGGATTGCTTAGGTGCATTGGATGGGACACATGTACCGGCATGCATAAAGGAGTCAGAAGCAGCCCCATATTTTAGCCGAAAGGGTTGTCACACCCAGAATATTTTGGCGGTATGTGATTTCAATATGTGCTTTGTGTTTGTGTCGTGCGGGTGGGAGGGCAGCATGCACGACAGCCGGGTTTTAAGCAACGTAACGGAGGATCCACAATACAATTTTCCAACTGCAACTGATGGTACGTACATCTGAATCCACAATACAATTGTTGTAGCATAGTTCTTTTTTGGTAAACATCTGTATGTAAATAACGATGTAAAGATATATTTAGAATTCAATGCATGACCGGGAATTTTTTTTGCAAAACAAGAAAATATGTATCGAACAAGCTCAACATAAAGGTAATTTCTATCATTAAATGCAAATATAATTAACCTCAGTAATATATATGTCAAAATGTATCAATTTATTTTCTATCACTGTATTTTCATTATAAATTTGATTTATGTTACCATTGTACTGAAAAACAAAATTTGATGAACCACTGACCATGTGGTAATTTATATATGACAGTTTTTACAATGTCCATGATAAACTAGTATTATGTCATTTACATGTGCACTTTCACAGGTCACTATTATGTACGGAAGAAGTGCCCTTTCATGTGAACATTGATGACGAGTATTATGTCATTTACATGTGCACTTTCACAGGTCGCTATTACCTTGTGGATAGTGGATACAGCAATAACAAGGGCTTTCTGGCACCATACAAAGGCAACAGATACCACCAACCGGAATTTCAAGGCACAATCCACGGAACCGTGATGAATTGTTCAACCGCGCTCACTCATTTGCGAAGCGTGATTGAGCGTACATTTGGCGCATGGAAGATGAGGTGGAGATTTCTAAAAGACATGCCTCGATTTGATTTTCGTAAAGTGCAGGTGCCATTGGTTGCAGCATCCATGGCTTTGCATAATTTATACGCAGAAATAGTGTGGACGATAAGATTATTGTTGCTGTTAGCAATGCGCCGAGTTCGATATCCGGACATGCGTGACCGCAACGATTTGGCTGCCTTGACGATGCGATGATGCCTGGAGATGATGATGTTGAGATGGCGCAGTTGCGGGCGCGTATCAGGCAGAGCTGGTTGCAATTTGGCGAAATGCTAGTTAGGTGGACATGTTATGTGATGCATGTCATCACT